AAAAAGAAACAACAAAACAAGTATGTTATGTATTTTGGTTTTCTGCAGTTTGAAAATCTGAGCAAAAGCACAACAAGTTTAACTGGATTCCCTCTAAGTACCTGTGGTTAATTTTTTGGCTTAAATTTGTGTTATCAGACATTCATTGACCATGTTGCTTCAAAATTGGAAACAAGGAAAGCCAATTTTACCTGAAAGGAACGCCAATAACTAACTGTTGGCTATGTAAAGGCAGTTTGCAAATCAAAGGATGACATCCAAAAAAGTATGTTGCCAAAATATTAGTATGTTGCCTCATCAGATTCAGACGAAATGGAAAATTGATCCTGCCAAGATCTGGGGAGCGTGTCCCCCAGTCCCCCACCCCCCTTGGTGCTGCTCCTGCCCTGTATGCATCTGAGCATAAGTCGAATGAAAGGAAGGTTCAGATTTAGCAAAATACAACTGCAAAAAACCCAACCATGGTTCATGGCCCAACCATAGTTTGCAATTGTCATACCATGGTTGAGGCCTGATCCTGACAAGTCCTAAGATGAATGTATTTCATAGTTGCAATTGTTCTGAGATGTTTTTAGTAATGGCAGACATAGCCCTGATTCAGCATAGATGCCATTGAGAGCAGAATCAGTTAAAAATATAGTAAATAACAAAAAGAGTTATGTTATGAAAAATGACTACAATACAGCAATATAAACTATTTCTTAAAATTCACCTAGGTGTAAGCTTATACTTAACAAAGAATTTGCATGAGCTAGGGCAATAGTTTGCCTTTTTTATAGATTAACAATTAACTATAAGGTTTGGAAAAAGTATGGCTAAACAGAAGACTTATGAAAAATGTTCTATAGCCTTTTTGGAAAATTTTATTTCATAATTTTCAAAATCCATTTGTATTTGTTACAACCTTTGTCCTAAAAAAGGTTTTAGCTAATAGGGCTGATGTCTCTCCTCACTCTTAAATGAAATGAAAGTCTGGTCGTGTCAGTGACTCGGACAACAGACCCTTTGATCAGTAATCTGTGATCATAAATACTGAGTTATCCTTGCATTTATTTTCAATTATCAGACCTTATATAAAAAATCTATCCCATTTTATTTCTGCGAATGATTATTTAGGGATGCTTTAAAAATATGGTAAAAACTAAGTTTGAAGCCAATTTTGGCAAGCTCGTCAAAATTTGCTAGTACTTTGAAGATTACAATTAATGATTAAGCAATGTAGTAGCCTTGTTGCATGCAACAGACATAGAAAGCTAGGCTCCCTTTTCCACATTTTCTTTACATAGCTGTGCAAGGACAGGAATGTTACATGGAAGAGACACATGGTGTCATCGATTAAATGAACTTTCAATTAGGTAATATAGAGGCATGGAGAGAGCAATTTGTGGGGTGAAGCTTACTGATAAGAAGATAAATATGCTAGGTTTGGAGAAAGCAGTTGATAAGATGGAAAAAAGGTAATAGAGTAAGATTGTTGGGACACATACTGGATTGAAACCGGTTGGATGATGATGATGATGACGATGATGATGACGATGATGATGATGATGATAATGAGGATGATGATGATAATGATGATGATGATGATGATGATGATGATGATGATGATGATGATGATGATGATGATGATGATGATGATGATGATGATGATAATGATGAAAGCACTGCATAGCTACTGTTGTTAAAATAACGAGGATACCAGCACAAGGATAAGGGAATATGATCTATTACAGCTTTAAAAAAGGGAAAAGTTTTCTTATATAAAGAACCCTTATAAAAACACCAGGCTGAGATTTGGCCAAAAAATAAGAGCAACATAAGAAACAAGGCAGGCTGAGATTGAGCTACACTCAATAAACAAAATATCAGCAGGAAGCAATAAGCAAAATAGCATTGAAACAACAATTAAAAAGCTCACTATTATAAAATCAGTCCTGAGCAAAGGCTTGAGTTAGTTTATCAAGCACCATGTTATGTCCAGAAACTACTGTGCACAGGAAGTTTATTTACAAAAATAAGAAACAAATAAGAAACCTGTGAGGCTGAAATTATGCTTGCATAATTAGGAGACACCAGCTGATAAAGTGTTCCTAAAAAATAATGTGCACCCCAATATATATATATATATATTTTAAGGGAACAAAGGAACTTTTTTCATTTTTCAACAGGAGCATGAGAACATTGCAGGGCCTCCGACGAAGAGGGGGCTGGGGGGCCTTGGCCCCCCCCCCCACTTTTTTTGCAAAACATTAGAGTTTTTTTCAAAATCTTTTGTTATGGGTGTTAAATTTTCCCTTGCCCCCCCCCCCACTTTTAAACCTTTGTCGGAGCCCATGTATGGTGGTTTTTTTAAAAGGAACACGTGAATAAGTACCCCCGCGGAAACCCTTACAGATAGGATCCCTTGAGGACATGGGGATGGGAAGGAATCCCTCCTTTCAGTTGGCCCTCCTCTCCCCCTTTGCAGAATACCTTGTGAAAGTTTCTTCTTTCTGTCTTTCATGACAGGATACTGGAAAACAGAATGCACAGTGTTTTGTCAGCGAGAGAAGCGCATTCTTCTTGCCATATACTTTTTTATTTGCCCTTGACATACAACGCAGCATAGAAACTTCCATCCAGGATCACCGTACGAATAGCTTAGTAGTAATGAACATACTAAAATACATAAGCCTATATACAGTACAATACCAAAACTACCTACTCAAACCCATATTGCCTTGCAAATTATACTGTTTTAGAGATATGACGGAATCTAAAAAATGAAAATAAACTGACTTCTATTGGTTTCCAACAATATCTGTAGAGAATATCATACATGTATATGAGATTCTGTCCTGTTTTCTTCAATGGATTTTCATACGCTGACCCACTACCTCTGATCACTCTGGTCATTACCGTGGTAACGTCAGTGGTAAACCGACCTCGTTTCAGTAACTCAGCAGGATGCGCATATGCGCAGGACCATTTGTCTTTTTGTCAAGAAAATGAAGGACAATGTCAAGATGAAATACGGGACGGGGAGCTGGGGGACCTCAGCCCCTCCTAGAGTCAGGCAGCTAATTTTTTCGAGCAGGAACCTCCTCCAAAAACGTATAAGAAAAGCTACATTTTGAACATGTTTAAAAGAAGATGATGAAAAGATCAGGGGCGGACTGGCTGGTCGGGCTATTCGGGCGATCGCCCGAAGGGCCGGTCTGTTTAAGGGCCGGTTGATAAAAGTGCAAAAAATAAATTAGCTTAAAAAGTGAATGCGAGGCAAAAAGTATACCCACACGTTGATCTGTTTGCCTTGATTTTTCAGAGACTTTGTGGGAAAGGATAAATATACACGCGAGTTTCTTTAATGTCACCGCAGCCCAAACACACTTCTTCAGAAAAAATGTTATTGAAAATTTTTTATATTTTCTCTTGACGGTATTTCCTTTTTGGCAACATATTATACTGTAACACCCCTGTTTCAATGCGATACATAAGATTTTAACCTGCCCTGATGTCTTTTTACTTAGCTTTTGCTTGAAGCTGGTCATGTTTTTCCCTAAGCACAAGCTATTGCTAAATGTAATAAATTTATAAGTCCAAAAATTAGAGTTCACTAAGCAATTTGCTCTGTGATTTGAAGCAATGAAGAGGACATACGTAGAACCAGTGGTGTACCCAAGGGGGGGAATAGAGGGGTCCGAACCCCCCACTTGTGATCTAAAATGTGATCCTCGAGATTTGTCCAAAAACGATGTAAAACTCATCGAGGTGGGGGGGTGTAGTATACTTTATGCTTGTGTCAATAACAATTGTAAAATACTTTCCTATTTACTGTAGCGAACATGAATCAAATAATGGCGGAATATTTTGCAAAAAGGGCGTTTCTCTGCATTTGCGAGTGTTTGAAGGGCGTGGTCCAAAAAATTTCTGGGGGCTGCGCCCAAGACCCCCCCCTCACTTCTCCGGCCCTGGGTACGCCACTGCGTATAACAAGGGAAAGCAAGAAGACTTCAACCAAAGGTGATGCACAGAAATTTTGTGAAGGAAAAGCTGCGAGACTTAAAAAAGGATTCAGCTACGATACAAAGCTTTTTTTATCAGGCAAAAGCCACAAACGTCACAAAAAACAGCAGGGTCTTGCTCTTGCTCCTTTCAATAAACTCATACAAGTTTTTGTAAGTTTATTTTTAGGCCTATACTATCACAAGTCAAATGCACCCCCGCCCACAGGGGTATGGTGCTACACGATAAAATTTCAACAGGGGTGCCCATTTTTTGGGGTCAGAAATTGACAAATCTATTTTTTTGGGCTGCTGAAAATCATTGTGGTTTTCCGGAGGATTAGAAAATTATTTGTCACAAGTGGAGTGTGATAGAAGCTTTTCCGCTTTAAATATATAAAGAACAGATTACGTAGTAATTTTTCGCAGCCAAACCTGGAGTCCTTCATGTTAATGTTCTTAGAAAAACACCTGTTAGATGACATCCTGAACGATCACATTATCAACATATAAGTTACTATATTTAGAAACAAAGTCAAACCAAGGAGTTAAATTTTTTGTTCATTTACTGTTTAGTCAACAAATGACATATTTATCATGTTCTGTTAAGCATATTCTGTTATGCTTATTCACTTGTTATGTTATGCAAGCATTCAACCATGCACAAAATTACTGAATTTAAAAACTTGTTTTCCTTGCAGACTAACATTTACTTGTATTTTCCGAGGAGTTTTTTATTTGCTATTATTGTGGGCCGGTTTGATCAAAATTTGCCCGGGCCAAAAAAATTAGCCAGTCCGCCCCTGGAAAAGATCAAGTTATCGTTATCGTGAGCGCTTTTGGAAGTAATGTAATCGTAAGTTTAGTCACGGATCCTCAGTACCTCTACCCTGGGTACCAGACTCACTATTCTGGTACCCAGGGTACAGTACCTCAGGCGGAATTTTTCAGGCATATATATATATATATATATTTATATAGAAATTTTTCTTTTGATACTTCCGTAGCACAGTGCTCAATACGTTAGCACGCAGAGCGTGATATATCATAGATTGAAGAAAGTAAAACTACATGGTTTATATCTACAAGCCTGTTTCGTGAGTAACTCACTCTTCAGAACATCTCCTGAAGAGTAAGTTACTCACGAAACAGGCTTGTAGAGATAAACCATGTAGTTTTACTTTCTTCAATCTATGATATATATTTATATATATATATATTAAACAATAGGGTACCAAAACGAACGTGGAATTTAGAATGATAAACGGTCCCGGTACACGAAGGTTCTGGTTCATATTGTTTGGAATGTAAAGAACAATCGAACTACTTCTACTAAGAGGGTACTAACAAGAAGCGGTGCGGTGATTTCCCAAGAACAATATTAATGCAAAGAAGTACAATATTAATGGCGACTCCAAAATTTTATTTATTGAAAAGTGTGAAATTTTAAACTCAAAAAGCATTGTGTTCAATTTGTTAATTATAACGTGTCATAATTTCGCACTAAGATGAAATCACATGATTTAAAACACATTGCGTTTCTCAATGTTATACTTTTGCGTAGAGTCCCAAAACGCATATTACACCGGAAAGCCGGTCCGCTTCTTCTTTCCGGTCTTCTCCTTTAAAAAGACATTCTAAAGTACCATACCTAATTTACAAAATTTACTAATCAAATTAATTACTACAGAAGAAATCATTTTCTTAATCTTTCCTCTAAAAATGTAACACTTAGATAAAAAATAAACTGAAAAGATGAGAAGTCTATAAAATAGCCTCTGAGCCATCGTAACTGCTTCTGTGTAGGAGGCAGGCAAATTTCCCCGAATCGATGAATGTGAAAGGGGAAGTTCTTAAGACCCAGACACAGAACAAAATGGCGAGCAAAGACGGAGCGGTACCCAATTACAAGAATGACGACAAGGCTTATAAAAAACTTATTTATGATATTAGCATCAATTTGACTTCGAAAAATTTGGCTGACTCAATGTTTTTAAGTGACCTTCCAGGTGATTTTATTGATTATTTTTTACGCGTCTGCTGCTACTGCTAGGCAAGTCGACTTGACGTGTGTTTGTGATATGTTCAAATTTTGTCTTAAGTGTATTGGCGACAAACTACCCCTCCCCTATTCAACTCGACTCCGCAGTAACGTGTAACTGTTTTAATGATTCTGTTTTTGTAAGCATATTATTCAATATTGTTTTATTGTATTCTTGCATTCTATCGAGAAAGAAACCACAACTTCTTCTACATTTTGCTTATGAGGAAGAGCTAAGAGCATTACTTCTCCATAAGCATTAATTTGTATCAATTTGTTTTGCATCAGCTTATTTAAGCTGATTTCTTTTCAGAGAGTGTATGTGAAAGAATCAGCAATGGAGGTCAACTGATGGAGGCTTTTCATAAGCATGGATTGATTTCATTTAACCGTAGTGGACTGGCTTATCTATCAGGAATCTTAAAGGATATAAGAAGACATGATTTATCTGGAAAAGTTGATCGGTTCCTTGAAGGGAGGGAGGAATCTACTTATGCATCTCATGGCAATGACAAGAAAGGTTAATGTATCTTTGTTGTTTCCTTGTTCCTGGCAATTCATTTTATAACCCCTGTTCTGACTGCCAACATCAACAAAAGCTTTCCACAGGTTAGAATTATCCCACCTAGACCCCAAGTTTTATAGAAAGTAACCAGCAAAACACAAAGATAGAATAAAATTGAAGCTCCTTGATTCGCATATTTTATAGTCCAGACTGGAAACTTTGTTGTGTTCCTGCAATATATTGCCCGCACACTCAAATTTACCATACATGAACTTTTGCTTATTGGCCATGAAAAGTCCCTAGTTAATAATATTTTCCATTATTAACACTTTCTAAATTTTTTTTTCTAAATTTGTTGATTTCAGGTGTGCAGTCACAAATTTTCAAAATTATCTTGTCTGCCGCAAGAGAAAAGTTTCCAGTGTGGTTTTAAGGGCATATGAATAACAAATTTATCAACAACATTTTGAGCAAAGCCTGTTGACTTGATAATGGGCTATGCTAAAAATGTCGTAAATAAACTCATTATTTTTTCCAATACAATTGTGTTTAATATCTTAGCTATATTCTGTAATATTGCACAGACATATATAATCATATATATGTCAAATTGCTGTCAGCCCCCTGTCAGCACATCAGCTAGCACTCCCTAAAAACAATCTACCCAATCCCATCAAAAAACGGCTCCTGAAAACTTGTTTTCCAACCCAGGCATGTTCACTTATCACTTCATTGAGCCCCAAGCACATACAATAGATACTTTTTCATTGGATGACTGTTAACATATCCAGTTGCTATTGTCGAAATATCACTCTTGCAATTTTATTGTTAATATCCTTCTTTTATTTATAAGCACATGTGCCTGTATCTGAATTATTTTCATACCCTGAAAATGGCTTGATGATTTTTGCTTTTTATGTTAGGGATAGGGATAATTATGCCCCTTCTAAAACAGCTTTTGGCTATTTTCAACAGCTTTGATTCTAAAAAGGTATCCAAACCTTGTAGATTTCTACTACAATAGTGTAATATATAAATTTTCCTCTGATCAAATGTTGTAACTGTGATCTTTCTTGTGGATTAGTTCTAATACACTTGGGTGACATTCATAGCTATATTTTATTATTAGTATGTGCTATAAAGACTTTTCATACAAACAAATTTGCTTTGACATTTGGTCCTTGAAGAATTTTGCCTAAAACCCCCTGTTTAGAAGTGGGTGCTACAGTAAAGTCACCCAAAATTTTTTGAAAAGTTTGTTTTTGACTCTATTTAAACTGTTGTTATTTCAGGAGAAAAACCTGCAGTAAAGAAAGATGTTTATAGCCCAATAAGTCTGCTTGGACCAAGTGCTTTTACAGTGAGCAAGAAAGCAAAAAGTTGTGAAACACATGCTTTAAATGAGAATGCTTCAAAAACAAAAGCCATGACACCAAAAGAAAATCCTAAATTGTGCTATGAAGTTGATGAAAATGACGAGTCTGATAAAATTGATTATGGTTTTTCAAAAAAGGGTTTTAAAATGAAACTTAATTTCACTGTGAGGAGTGATAGTGATTACTACGAAATGGACAGTGAACAACAAGGGTATTGCTTGATAATAAACAATATAGGTCATGAAACACAACCACTGGAAACTATATTTAGTGGCATGAAATTTAAGGTTGAAATGGCAGAAAATAAAACTGCAAACGAAATGCAGTCAATATTTCAGGGGTTGGCTAATTCAAACCTTTCACGCTTCAATTGCTTGGTAATATTCATTTTGACTGATGGGCAACATAATGAAACTTATGGATTTGATGGAAATAAACTTCACATTGATGACATCCACGGCCCATTCAAGTCCTGTCCAAGCTTAAAAAGGAAACCAAAGTTGTTCTTTTATTCATTTGTTCCTAAGAATGCTAAAGCCAAGAGAGACGGGTCTATTCAGTCTCTTAACTACGCTGAGTACCCATCAGAGGCTGACTTTTGTGCTTTTTTTACAATGCCATCAGGTATGTCTTCTTACAAACTTAATCACCAATATGAGATTACACAATTGTTCTTCAAAAATAGTATGATTTTTGTTTTTTGGAACTAATAAACCTCTCTTTTATTTCATTCTTATATACTCTTTTACATTGAGGTGCTCAATTTTTGTATATTAAAGGCTTCTTCATAGGTTTGGCAATGGAACCAGTGCAGGAAAATTTCAGTTTTTCCCTGGTCAACCTCATAAGTAATTTTTATTAAAACATAACTGTGTTAAAAGACAGTGACAAATATGAATGATATAGATTAATTACATGAATCAAGCTATTTATCATAAAACCAACCTGTTAAAAACAGCTCTATACAATGGTAAATCCGATGTCCTCAATTAGATTGGCCCATAGCCTGTGACAGCACCAAGGGGGGTTATAGGGGGAGGTACCCCCATTTTTGTCAAAACATTGCCTACATATTCCTTCTAAGAATGGGTTAAAAGTGCTAGGTAGGGATAGTTCATATTTTCTAAAGAAAATTAACCAGGTACAAAGCACTGAAATGAGGCAAAAGTGGATGGTCTCACTGCTGCAATAGCTGAGGCCGCCACTGCCCATAGCCTGTTTGAAGAAAAATTAGCTGCTTGGGTAAGCCTTTGTTTATATTGAAAGGAGTATTATAATCTTTTGTTCAGCACAATGGGTCGTCACTGGGGCTGGAGAGGCAATCACTCGCTATTAAGTTTGTTAAAAAAACCCTGAATTGGCATTGACCACTTTTTACCCAGGGGCTGTACTCATATATTTTTAGGATAGGAGTGCTCAGATTTCTTTTTTGGGTCTAGAATTGGAGCAAAAGTTATTTTTTGGTTTATTTATCTGTAAAATTGCTTGTTTGGGTTCATGAAATTCTGAATTACTTTTTCAGATCTTGAATATGAGAAAATTTAAAAAGAAAATTAGAGAGAAATTGCAAACTTTCTTGTGCATGGTGAAAAAAATTATTTTTTTGATTGATGGTTCTACTACGGCCTGAGCACCCCTATCCTAAATATATTTGAGTAACCCCCCCCCCCCTTCTGGGACTTTTTTGCTGCCAGAAATTTGCCATTTCCAGACAGGCAAAACGCCTGTGTCACCAATAGTGAACCCCTTTAACAATTTTTTCATTATTTAGTGACAGTATCAAAGCAAAAGAATCAATTTTAATATTTCTTGTTAATAGTATTTCTTCAAATTTAAACCTCTTCTCCAACATTTCTTCTCTGATTCAAACAGATTACAATATTCATCCTCCTAAAAAGCCTGTATCATTTAGTTTAAAACGAAAGAAAGCCAGCAAATGCTTTAATGCACTTTGCAGTGGCGGATCCAGCCAAAAATCTGACTACCGCCGAAATGAGATAGAGGGTTGACCATTCCCTTTAGACCACACCAATTTCTTGGTCACACCCGGTTTTTTAAAATGATTATTGCTTTCTATAATTTCTTATGTAGCCCATTTTCAAGAGACAAGCGGTGCTTTACTGAAATTTCATGTATCCTTACAACAAGCTTGAGAAGAAATAAATAATCTTACTCAATATTCTGAGGATGGATATTCTAAAAAAATTTTACGGCATTTAGACGAGGAACACCATAGAATTAGAAAAAAGATACATTTGGCAGAATTTTGAAGTGTCGCCTAAAACTCGCATTTAGTCTGACAATTACTTATGAAAATTACAAGTTTAAAAAGCTAGATAAAATTTGCAATTATTGAGAGCAACTTTTGTTAAACAAAGAATCATACTTTTGGCGAATATTGTGGGCCTGACTTTTAATCCTGATGCCTTCTTAAATTTTAGAATATTTGAGTCTTAATATTCTTTTAAAATATATTCCTACGAATAATTGTGTATTGTACAAAATAATGGGTCACATCGGCTTTGAAGTTACAGTTTGCCCACTTGCAGAATATGTAGGCATCCCCCACCTTTCTGTAACGTTTGAGCCGTGTTGAGCGGCAGTACTACTCAACCCCCATCTGAGCGGTAGTCAACTCGGTTGTTCATTGGTTGTCAACAAAATTTGTATGCATCCCCCCAGGTTGGCAGTGATTTCTGACGATTTGATTGGTTTAGGCAGGCTGACTACCGCTCAGTGCAGCTCGAATCCTGTCCCCATGCTAGCCTTCTATTTGCAAACATGTGGCTCGGCAATTGGCACGCAATTTCCATAGCGATAAGGGATTAAAAAATATTTCTGTCTCTGTGGAAATTTCAGGCCCCGTTCACACGGGAACGCAATCGTTCCGTTCCGTTCTTTTCCGTTCCGAAAAGCGGAACGCTCAGGGGTTGTGTTCACACGAGAACGCTTCAAACGACATCGTTCCGTTCCAAAAAGTGGAACGATAAAATAAGTGATACGAAAAGTGGAACGGTATGCAATCGTTCCGTTCCGTTCCCGTGTGAACGCGCAGAACTGGTCCAGAAAATGGAACGATAAGAGCTTTGCCCTTGGCGCATGCGTTTGTGTTGTTGTTGAGGGAAGGAAAAGGTGACAATAATAAACTCAGCGAAGAAAATGGAGGATTTCAAAAACACCATTGGCTGAATCTCGCCCTTAGTCCATTTAAAAGATTCAACACCATTCTGCAAACATTGAAATTCCTTCCTTTTAGGGTTGGCTTTAATTTTCCCACGAGCTTGCTTATTTTCGGGCGCTTTTGTATTCTCAATTTATTCAAATTGTTTAAAAAATTCAGAGATAGCTCAGAGATAAATCGAAATGATGAAATCTATCTCCATTATGGACATGCGCATTAAAAATCATTCGCTTATTTTGGCGCGCAAATTGCAGAACAGAACGATTGCGTTCCCGTCTGAACATAAACAAAAATCGATACGCAATCGTTCCGTTACCGTGTGAACAGTATACCTTTTCGTTCCAGAAACTGGAACAAAAATGGAACGGAACGATTGCGTTCCCTTGTGAACGGGGCCTCAGGCATGTTCCTGGGAAGAAAGGCTTGGTTTGCAGCGCGATCAAATATTTTCAATAATTAAATATGGTTTAATTAAAGTAGTAGGATAAACATGAAAATGATCCTTGTTTCTATAATTTTTGAATAATCTGACTACCGCTCGAGCGGTAATGGCGGTAGTCTGGATCCGCCACTGCTTTGGATGTGAATATAACATTTTTGAACTGCCCATAAATAAAGATATTACGTGCAAAGTCAGATAACCTACCAATATTACACCAGCTACGCTTAGGTTCTGAAAACTTAGCAGAAAATTCGAGAGGGTTTAACTGCCATGGATAAACAAGAGACAGAGGTGTTTAAATAGCATAGGCTATGTTCTTGGAATATAATGAATTAGGCTTCGTGGCTTTCCATATTTCATTATTAGCAATTTTGCTTTTAAACAATTATTTTATGTTGCATTGGCTGTAAATAGCTAAAGTTAGTGTATGCGGAATTATTTAGTGGTCCTTTGTCTTGACTAGTCAGGAAACACTTTAGGGTTCCTTTTGAAAGAAAATCAGGGATTTTTTCTGTCGATCTTCGAATCTTTTACAGTGGGAAGCATGAAGCAATCGACTAGGAAAGGATTGTTTTATTTCGATGGAATTTGAACAGAAATGGGCCAAACGTTTCAAAATTTCGATAGATCTTTCTCAAAATTTGAACATCTTACCCCCAAAATTATCCTTGATGGAGAAGCAAGGCCTCATATAGAAGCGCATTCTAAATGCTACTATAGGGATGTCAATGTTCCCGACACTCATAAGCGTACGGGACGGGGGGGGGCTGGGGGGCTTCAGCTCCCCTAGATTCGGGCAGCTGATTTTTTCGGGCAAAATTCGGGAAAGAGCATTCTCCAGAAACAAAATGATAGGAAAAACTACTTTATGAACATGCTTAAAAATCTCTGAGATGACAAAATCAAGTGGTTGTAATCATGAGCGCTTTAGGAAGTAATGGAATATGGTAAAAATCTCTTGGGTGAAAAAACACAAAAAAGTGACAAGAACAGCAACAGCCCAATTAGTGCTTGAAATCATTGTCGAAGAAGTGAAATAAAGCGGCTATTACGCTGTCATGATTGATGAAACATCTTACTTTCGTCTTCACGAATAAATGTCAGTTTGTGTCATTTTTGCACTGAATGGTGTCCGAAAGGAAGTTTTTTGCTAAATTTGACAAAACTCGGTCTTTGGCAATTGTACGAATTCGGCTTAAAAGCGTATGTATAAACTTGTCGGCAAATGCTCCGAAAATCTAAAATGAGTGGCAAAGCCAAGTGCTTGGCAAAGCGAATGGAGGACTGTTTTCCGCTGAGCATCTATGTAGACTGCCCTGCCCATTAGTTGAATTTTGAAGGAAGAAAGTCAATTGGAAATGGACTGGGTGTTGTTCAAGGTCGCTACAATTTAATTGAAGTCAACACCAAAAGACATGCACTTTCAAGAGAAAAGTTGAACATGAACCGTCATAAAGCTAATAGGGACAAAGCGCAACGCACGGGGCTTGCCAGAGGGGGAAGGCAGTAGACAGGACACTTATTTTCTTCGCAAGGATAAAGACCCTGAAACCCATCTAGAAAGCAAAGCTCTGTTCAACTGTTTGTACAATGTAATGGATAAAGTTTTGGAAGAAATCTATGCGCGATTTAGTGATAGTGACTATCAAATTTTATGTGATTTGGCGTAACGGAGGCATCTGGGCCCCTAAGCGAAAAACTGCTACAGGACTTCTATTCACGGACAGGAAGAAGATCACATTAAATGGTGTAGAGCATGTCAAACACAACAGAAAAATATAAAAATTAGAATTATTTTCTCGTGAGCTTGGGAGAACCGAGTGATAGAGCTTCATTTGATTAACTTTCAAAGTTTTCAAAAGTTATTTGAACTTGAGCAAAGCTTTAAAGACCTTAAGCAAAACGCTGAATCAAGGTGCCTTAAACTGTGTTACGCCACTTGCCCGTGATAAGGGAATGCAAGCGTGAATGCTAACACTTTTAAAGAAATCATCATAAAGGTTTGCTCCTTCTACAAATACATTATGAGTTTCTGACCTCCTAGAAATGGAACACAAACTGTTCAATAATCACAAGAATAGGCAGGTAAGCAAGAAAGTGCGTGAATTACTGAAAATGGTGCAAGTAATGTTCACAAAAAGATATCGATAAAATAATCGATATATTTGGTCGCTGTCGTGAAAGAAATTCGCTTATTTTAATGAAAATGTGTGAAGATTTAAAAATGGTTATTAGGTAACATTTTTCAAATTATTTGTATTTTAATTTTTTGTTGACTAATATAAGAAGCTCACATGTGTGAAAGTATATCCTTAAAACTTTTGGCGTTATCACCCCCGTCCACCTATGCAGACACTATCAACGAATTTCAAGATTCCCAACCTTTCTATAAATCATTCATTGTGAAATGTTACAAACATAAGAGAAGATGTCACCGAGGGGCATCCTGAAATCTATGGTGACCAATCGGCTTTGCCCCTTTTTTCCAAACCTCCCTACGCTGCTTCAAATCTTTGTTTGTTTACCAGTGTCTTCAGCTGGTGCCGAGCGCTCGTTTAGACGAATAAAGTTGATAGAACTACCTTTGATCATCCATGGAATGATCTTTTGTCAAATCTGAAGGCCCTGAGTCTCTGCCGAAACACTGAAATCGATCATGACGAGGTTATAGACATGTTTGCAGCGATGAAAAAAGAGAAGAAGATTATTTGTTGGAAAGACCTGACTTCTGGCTTTATTGTGCCATGGAGCCTGTCTTCCTTGCTATCATGTTGTATTATAGTATTCCATCTAGTATTCAATTTACCAATGAAGTAAACATGTCATCGGAAATGTTATGATGCCCCCCTCCCTCATATACCACTGTTGGTATCGGTCCTGGTTCAAAATAAAGGAAGTTCGAGTCTAATTTTGCATTAATGCGCCTAAATTTTGCACTAATCTTAGTCTAATCTTTGTTGGAAGCATTTACCTCGTTCAGTGCAGAAATCTATCCTGGGTACTAGACTCACTCTTTATTCCCAGGGTATGCCGAAAACAAGCATTCAACGCAGGCTGAAGCATATCAACAGTGGATCGACTCGATATAGAATTGCGTGGGCTCGTGTACAGTCGATATTGGTTTTCATCATAAAAGCACAGATGCACAGACTTTGCTGAGGCCAACTTTTTTAGACAGAAACTTGTGTCGGCCTAGAAAATTTTGGACGGGCACAATGGGGCAAAAAATTTTAGTTAAGCTGGAAAAAATATCTGTATATTTTGCGAGAATAAACTTTTGCGAATCTCGTAATTGAAGGTGTTTCACTGAACAAACATTCACGATTTCAGGCCGGAACGCGAAAAACTCGAAATGTTCTTCCCCCGAAAGATTCTTCTCTAAAAATTGGAGACACCATTCGCGACAGTAGACAACAATAACAATATTAACCACGTGTAAACCACCTGTCGACAATAACCGGGTGTTGTGGATAGAGCTACTTATATATTCTTGGTTAACCGGGTGTTGTGGTAGAGCTACTTATAGAGCTACTTATATATTCTTGCTCATATCAATTCACAATCTTTCTCTTTGTTTTAAACAGGTATATCACATCTCTGCAAGCTATTGGCCCAAGACCGCACCATCCTTTTGGATGATTTGCTCAACCTGATCAGAACACACGCAAAGGAAGAAAATCAGGAAATACCATTGACTGTAGGCCAGCTCAGCAAAAAACTGAAATTCATCTAGCATTAATGTATATTTGCAAATGGAAGACTATCGATTTAATGTATGTAGATTACTGCACGTTATAAAACCAAATCTTCTTTCATCGCCTGCTTTTAAAAATCTTTGTTTACTCCGTGCCTAGCTTAAACTGCACATATTCTTTCAGATTTGAAAAGAGTTGTTTATCAAATCATTTCTTGGAAAATAAAGTCAAGCTTTTTTGTATTTAGCTGATACCACAAGAAATGATCTCGCTATCTGAAGACATAGAATAAAATGTGTTAAAAACTGTTCGTTGTTAAAGTATAATTACTTTGGTATGGTGCTATAAAAGGCATGAATTTTATACAAACGTGACGTCTTTTGCCAGCTTTCATTCAATAAATGAGATATATTAAGGGAGAGTTAAGCTTTCTCTTCTTGGTTTTGAGCAATTCAAAAAGAAAATAAATACCATCTAAGTCTATTCTTATCATCCTATAAAGATACGGCCAGAATTAAACTACGAAAGCATTCCTGGCGTCTCAAAGATATCAATCGTTAAAAGACGTTAAGGTTAACACCCCATAACACCAAAATCTATTTATTTGCCGTCACGGAATTCAGCTATATGATACTCAACAACGCCTTTCAGACCAGCGTGGCATTGCTTGATGATCGTGACATTCATTGATCGTGACTTACATTGCGTACAGCAAAATCCAAGCTATTGTCAACATAAGAAACATCAATGCCTCTGCTTTCGGTGTCGCATCGTGGCCTAAAGTGAAAGTGACAAAAAAAGTTTACACCTGGTGCTGCTGAAATCGACATGAAGCTGAAGACTTAAAGGCATTGAGTCATGATAAAATGGATTGGATATACTCTAAGTGCCAAAATCCGCTGAGTCATGATTTTCATGACTGCGATGCTATTGGTTGACCTGGAACTGGTCTCATGAACTTACCTGGTACTGATTGACAAAACAATTTCTATCAATAGCAAGTTGTCAACAACGGATGCAAATATCACATGAAACAGCAGCGATCACGCCAAATCCAAATGACCTCCTATATCGAAGGCCTATTTAACATGACTCAATGCCTTTAAAACGCTTTCTTCATTATAAACGGTAAACGGTAAACGTTTTTGACACGGTATTTGGTTTCCTCTCCCTAAAAGCAAAACTATTAACGGAATCAGATTAAACTATACATCATTCGATGCACAAGAATGTGGCGATTTCAACCATATCAAAATAATTGGCAAATATTATAAAATGATACTTTCCAGGCAAATTTATTGCTTAAATGAGTGTACCACCTTCAAAAGCTATTTTGTACCCTTGAGTTTAAGGTAAAAAAATCACTTATATCACTTATATCAGCAAAAAGCGCAGATCCTTAGCTACTAAATTTTGTCTCAGATTTTTCAAATTCCTCCTCCCCTTGAAACTATACCCTTTCAAAAACTGGCAAACAACTTTTCTTCCTTCTAATAGCTGTATTTGGCTATAAAAAACGGACCAGAGAAATAAAAAAATTTTGAGACACCCTTTGCTTACCCGGCATCTGTCCTGACCGTGTGCAAAGTTTTGAGCCATTCGATTGGTTCCTTGGGTACAGAATAGCTTTTTCGTACCTGTATGTAGACGAATTATAAGTCCGGAGAAAACGGGGTTTTACTGATCGCACTTGCAAGGTACACTCCGTAAACCACAGTGTAATCCGCAAAGCAACGATAATCGGCTTAACAGGTCAAGAGATTTTCAGGCCTCAACTAAGGCCCTAGATGCACCAAACAAGATTTCAGGAAGAACTTCTAACACACTTTATCTCTATTGCTCATAGAGAAAAAGGATTAAGCCTGTAAGTAAACAAATGCTGATTTTCCATTGCGCCCACCCGAATTGCCACTGAACCAAATTCACTCATCTCTCAAAGTTTCCGTCGTCCTGCCCCAGAGCAGAACGAGCAATTTGTTTACTTTCTGTGTCGCGTCAAGTGCATCCAGCAAGAAAAGATGGCCGAGAAAAAGTTTAAAAAATGTACAGCCTGCCTAGCTAACGAAGGTAATAACAACTTGATCATCATTACACTCTAATTTTTATAAGAGCATGAGCCTCAAAATTGTTCAAAAGTTAAGAACAAATTAAGAACAAGCTGAGGCTGAGCTTCTGCAAAATGCAATTTTAAATCTGTGCTTTTTCGGTGAAAATTCAAACCTGACGGCAAATGAAGGCTGTCTCACTCACTTTGTTGGAAAATGAGGCCTGACTACCTCCCTAGAGCGAAAAAGCTAGCACTCGCACTGCTTACACCCTATTAAATTAAGAACAAATCAAGAAAAATCCAGCCTCAGATTTTCGAAAAAAATAAGAACAGTCAGCCTGAACTTAAATTTACTGGTTCTTATATAAAAGAGTGTACCAAGCGTTGGTATTGTAGATAATGGATATTGTAGATAACATATGCACTAATTTTTACTTTTTATACTTTTTAGACAAAAACCAGTGAAACTACAAGGCTAGGTTGTTTTTCAATTGTTCTTGAATTATTAGGGTTTGAGTTGAACAACTTTAGACAGGATTTAAATTTATACCGCATAACAACATTGGATGTGGATAATTGAGGTATTGCTTTTTAATAACATTAGCAAAAAATTACCAAGCTATGGAAGCATTGTCTCTTGTAAAAACATGTTTTAATGATAATGGATATTGCAATCTTTTCAAAAAAAGCAGAAATACATTGATAGCTTTCCATTCTGTTATAACCAGTTCCTTTTCGAAAAATTTATTGACGGACAGAAATACTTCTTTTAAAAATATTCATAGACTTAAGCCCGGTAAGCATTTCTTAAGTTCGACGTTTGGAACGGGAGTTGCATCAAACAAGTCCAGGTGCTGAACCAAATTGAATTTTGACCGCCCATGAGAAGTTCAACGTAAACCTTGCAAATGAGCACTTGCGCAAAAAATGCAGAATATGTATTTAATTATGAACATTTTTTTTGCGATACAGAATCTGGAAATGGCTTTGAAAAAAGCAAACATTTTACAACATACTGAAAGCTTTTTCGTCTGACACTCCTCAGAGAATAAAACGTCAGAATAAGGGTCCGAAAGAACACCATGAAAAGATATACCTAATTGTGGATCGAAATAGGCCAATCAGAAAAACGCAAGCACAAGACCGGTATAGTTGACCAATCAGTGCTGCGTGCCTAAAGAAGAATTACCACTGGAGTCAGCTGTTAAAATTTATAAGTAACCTGTTATAATTTTAGCAAAAGGAGGAATCCGAAAAACATACCTTTCGACTGGTCCCGCTCTTTTTCTATTGCTCCAACTTCGACCATATAATAATTAGATACCGTCGATGGTCTATAGATTGGTGTCTTTTCACTGACACTGCGAGTGGTGCGTTTTAAATTGTTTCCTTGACAACCAGACTGACACCTACTGTCTGTTGAGGTCATAAAGCAGAGGAAAATGAGGCAGTGAACATATGCCTTGGGACTGCTCTCTAGCAACGCAGAAGCTGGTAAACTGAAGCGTTGCTGACCTCTAGTTCCTGAGTGAAACTGCACCTTGTTGTTCACTGGGCACCTAAGATCATCAAAAAAAATAAAATGATTTTTGGATGTTGTGTCATAATGCCTTTGGTTTCAAGTTATTGACAACATGGACTATAACATGCTTTTTGGAAATACTTACCTTTCTTTGATAAAGAAGTACTTTTTCTCGTTGCTTGCGTCTTTGACCGGCGTGGAGTAGCAGCTGCTAACCAATACCATATAGTCACTAGAAGCCGAAGAGCGTACTTCAAAATATAGACGGTCTGTGAGTTGAACAGAAATAGGGAACTTTTTGTGTTTCAGATTGAATTTGCTATTGATATGCAGGTCGATATTCAGCTGGAACTGACCGAAACCGGCTGGAACAAAGAGAAAAGAAAAAATATCTTCAGAAAAGAACAGAGAAACAAGGGGAAACGTTACGGTGGGTTGTGGATACGTGAGGGAACTGATAACTTGAAAGAAGTATTTATCTTCTAAAAGAGCAAAGTGACATTAGGTGATGAGTTTTTCCAAAAAGTACGCATTTCCCCCTACTGTTTCATTTATTGATTTATTGATTAAAAAAAATAATTTATACATACGCCTTTCCGCAGATGTAATTTTTATAAAAAGGTGTCTGTCCTGGAATTGTCACTGGTGCTGAACTTGCAAATATTTTTCTCTTAGCCCAATATAAAAACTAACTAAATGAGCTCAAACTCTGGAATAAGACATGAACATCAGGCAATTAAAAAGAAACCATAACTTAAACCAAACTTCGTAATCGTCCTTAATGTGCGCAATCGTGCGAGGATGGCTCAGTTGTTAGAGGCGCTGACTACAGACCCAAGACCAAACTTTCACCCAGAGTGGGGAGAGTCGCCAGTTCTCTGTAATTCCAAGCGTAGGAATCACTAGGTGTGGTCACATCGAAAGAAAGGACCAGGACACTGCTCGATAAGCATAGCTTCTCAGTGTCCTAAAAACTACCTTCGGATGCTAGGTAGCAACAAATACAAATACAAATACTCCAATGATATATAAAATTGTATCTGCTGCAACGGCAAGGTGTCGCTCTTCTAAAAACCACAGGCAGCTAAGTTTGCAATTTCAACATCTTCGTGACAATTGACCACATATAATATTCTTGAGCTCTTTTAGTTTTTTGATTTGCTCTTTGTAGTTCATTTTTTGTTGTCGATTTTAGTTCTTATTGCCGATTTAGTCTTTATTGTTGATCGTGGTACTTTGCCACATTGTTTATAGAATACACTGTTCAGTTGCCTCATGACCGCATTAAGCGTGAAACTCTGAGTGGCAACTTAGAACTTTCCTGTTTTATTTTTATTGTATTTCCATTTAATCATTTAATCGAATTTATTGAAGGATAGGGAGGGCTCTCCCCGCGATTAATTTACTTATTGAGAGAGCTCCTCCTTCAAGTAATTTGCTCCACACGATTCATCCAAGTCCTATGTATTGAATATTGTATTAATTTTCCGTATCAATGTATTAATTCTCTGTAATATTTTTCATTGTAGTTCAGTAACTTGTTAGTATAGCAAATTATATATAAATTGTATGGAGTGAATTTAAAATACATGAAACTGAACTGAACTGAAAACTCCAAATAGCCTGTACAGCTCTTCCTATATGGCATCGACTTGCATCGTCTTAAGCAGAACGTGCAGCTATTGTAAAGGATTGTGGAATGCTAGTAATGACACTGCTATGACATTGATGTACATTGCTAGTAATGTCTCTGCTGTAGTGTGGTACTGAACTATGCACCATATAGGCAATGAAGGTGAATCGTTTCTTACATAAACTGGCATGAAAATATCTTAAAAGGACATGACAATTAACTAAGTAATCCCAATGTATGGAGAGCACTAGCAGCTTAAAAGAAAACAAAAACTTACGTTCTGTTGCATTTACCTCTTTTACGAGGTCATGACCAGATGACGAAATGAAAGTGTCAGTCGCAAACACACAGGAAAATGTTATATAGACGTCAGGGTCGCGAGAAATGATGCCAAATGTCTTTGGCCTTAGGACCAGCTGGTTTTCGTATATGAAATGACTTCCAACGGTTTTTTTGATTGTGTCACAAGCATTGAGTTTTGTTCCAATGATAATTTTTGTACTTGATGCTGAGACTTTGCAACTTGTTGATCTTAGAGTAACTGATAAGTATTTTGATATGTTGTACCGAGATTCATCCAATTCAATTTGCATATAATTTGAACTGCAATAAACCTTCGCTCCAAGATCTAGGAAGGTCAAGCAAGCATATTTTTAGGCCGTTATTGGCCAGGTAAATGACTCCTTTAACTGCATATCGGTTCAATCAAACGACACAAATAAACATCTATTGTGGTCGATGAATTCCTAGCTTCTTAAAACATCATTAAAATTTAGCATATTGGTTGAACATGGCTCTATTACATTATCTGAATATTTGTAAAGCTGATAAGAAATCTGCATAAATGTTTTCAAATAATGTATTAAGAATATTGCAACTTAAAAACTAAACTTCCATCTATTTAAAAAGTATGAAGCAGTCCTAGCCTGTTGCATTTGCACATGTATCTTTTGCTAACCTTATCTATATATAGCCCTTAAGTAATTCTGTATGCTCGAAATATGACACAATATCAAACCAAGATTTCTTTAACTTGTTCTATAGATTTGCGCTTTTCAGTTTACCAAAGGTAAACCTAGCTAAAATTATGACGTTTCTAAGTTAATTGTGCAAATATGCAATAAAACAAAAGAAAATTCGGGCTTCTGTTTACGCTGAAGCAAATATATTGCTTCTAAGACTTCCCTGAATAAATGCTGAAGTTCTGATAAAGGAAAATCAATTTGAGGTTATCAAAATAATTTGTACCTGGCTTTCCACAATATCTTGCATTGCATGTTGGTACTGCATCGAAATAATAAACAAGAAAGCCTCCGCAGTTCCTAATTTTTATTTCTCTTCTTAACGTGCATGTGCAGCTCCCATGTGTAGAAAAACAAACTGTTCTATTCACAACACCTTCTTCGATGCTTGGTGCAACTTGATCTTTTAACCAACCCTTATAAAATGTTCCACAGCTAGAACTTGATTTGGACCAGCCAGCAGGACAGGAGCTTACCAGAGTTGTGCCGGATTGGCCTGTGAAACGATACCAGCCATACAAAAACATATCACATCTATAGGAGCTCCAATCACTGTGATCTACGGAGCGGTCATGCGAAGAGAGATTGTGGTAATTCTTGCAGCCATCAATACTTGAATAAGGCCTCATTGCAGGAGCTGCAGGCGGTGGCAGTACTCGAGCAACCATTGGGCCCAAGGGAGCGTAAATTTTATTTATTAAAGTGCAATTCACTTCAGACTCTTGTTCGTGTGTGGGGCCTGTAAAGAAAATATGATCATAACAATTCCTATGTAAATATCGATCACAATTAGGCGAAACTGCACTTATAGCCTGCAGGAATGGGATTGTCATGCTCATATAAAAAAGTTTTTAACTGACATTATAGTTACGTCTTTCGACCAGAGTTCTTTTATCCCAAAATGAAATCATAATCTATTGATTGGACAAACTTTTAACTTAATCGCGGGCACTTAAGCTTTCTGACCGGCGTCAAAAACATTTAAAAGCAAGACATACATAAGCGGTTATTGATTAGATAGTCCCAAATAAATTAATAAATCTAAAGGACTTAAATTTTATTATTTTTCTGCCTTTATATCACCTTGCTGCTACTTTTACTTTGAGGGAAGAAAGTCTAGCGAGAAGAAAGATTTAGGAATTGAGGAGGAAGCGAAATTTTTGGCACCAACTTTCGCGAAAGGAGCGACTGAGGGTCTTTCGCGAGAATAAACTTTTTTGTTTTAGTAAAAATCACAAACTTTGAGCGAAAAACATTTCTATTTAACAGACGCCTCCTTCTATTATAATTACGCTCTATACCAAAGGAAATGAAGAAAACAGTATTAAACATGGTTAAAAACTATCACTGTCGCCAAAGTTTTCAAGAGGGACAATAGCAATGCTCTCTGGATATTTCGCGAGAATAAACTTTCGCAAATTTAACAATTTTTGATAAAAAACGAGAATTCTCTTCCTTTTAAGTAACTAGTGAAACCAATCTGTTTTTAGCAATAATTTTCCCCAACAATGAATCAGTTTATGTGCCCAACAAATGATGGCATTGAGGATGAGGGGGATTCCTTTGATTTGCCCTGCATTTGACATCCAGCCAGGAAATCTTCTCACTGGAGTTTCGAAATTGCTACGATCAGTTGTCCAAATTGACACTCAAATCAGAAGTATATCAGACCATCGATATCGTAGAACCTTGAACCTTAACCTGATAGCGTGTGTACAGTTTGCTGGGCAATGGGGACTCTGGAGGGGGATCAGTGGCTGCAGTAACTGCTGTCTTTTGTTCCGTCACCCGTGGTTCCTGTTCTCCAGCATCCTTCTCATATGCTGACCAACCATCCAACGTGAAACGGGTTCTAGTAGTTATCAGTAATCAATGTTATTTGTAAGTGTCCGTAATTGTTTCATTTAGCTGCTACCTGTTATATACTTTTTATGTTAATGGCCACAGGGTAGCCATTGTCTTTTGCTCCCTGTGGTCCCGTCCCTGTAGTGTTGTACACTTTGTAAAGTAATTAGGAATTATAATAAGATGTAGACGTAAACATGTATTGTAAAAATTTTTATATGATACAAACAAAATCAGTTTATATTTTGAGTGCAGATAAATTACTTCAGACAGAGCCAGACAATGTAAAGTAAATATGGATAGAGAATACAAAAAGAGGGACTTGGTTGCGTCAGTTGCAGTAGAGGATAGGGAAAATGTTGAAGAAGACGGCAAATGACAGGAATAAAGCAAGGATGAAGTTAAAGCTGTCTTGAAAGATTTTGAAATTGAAAAAACTACTGTAGCAGATGACAACCGCGAGTTATTCAGGTAATGGATGAGAATAGGGAAAAGGCAATAAAATAGCTTTTCAGCGTATTTACGAAGATGAAGTGTGGCCAGATGATTTGCCATATGTGTGCTTGCTTCACTAAAGAGAAAGTGGAAAAGACCTTTGGCTCACACATTTGTTGAATCTTACCAGACGAAGTCAGGGAAAGGAGATGGTCTCGAGAAGCATTAGTTGTCATGAAACTTTGAGTGATACCTGACAAATGCCAAAATAGTTCGAAATACGAAAAATATAGTAGGGTGATTATAGTATAGAATATATAACAAATGAAGAAAACATAATAGATTCGAATGATAAGTAGATCAAAAGAATAGTAGGATGGATTTACAGCCTTTTCTAAATGTACGTGTGCAAGTAGCAAATAGAGAGTCAGAGTTAGGGGTTTTTACATTGGTAAACCACAAGGTTGTTTCTTACCTCCACTGCTTTTCAATATCCGAAAGTGAAGACAGTGAAAAGTGAAGACTTAGAGGGATAGTGCAAAGGCATTAAAAATATCAGAGTTTGGTTTGTTAGTGATCTTGAAATGGCAACAAAAGCTTAGGACACTTTATTACGTTGAAAACTTTGGCCAACTTTCCCTGCGGCCCTTCTCTTCAAAAGAGCTTTAAATTTATACAAATTCCTGCAAAAGCATCATCACAGGGTTAGTTAGGGTGCTTATTTAAAGTCCTCTTGTGGCCGTAAACTTTCAGAAGAAAATTTCCTGTCAAATCAGTTTTGGAAACTCGTGGGTCAATTATGCGATAAAACTACGTTGTTGAAAACAAACATGAGTCACAAAAAACAAAATTTCAGTGTTTTAATTTGATTGATAATCTTATGGTAGTGAGTAAAAAGAGGGTCATACTTAGGATATCTATAGAAAACTGCAATGAAACGCTGTGGTATTTAGTGTGCAAAGAATTAGTCTTGTAATCTTCCAACATGACAACGACAGCGTAACGGCCAGATTGGTACGATGCTCCATTTACAGTAAGACTGCAGTTGCCCTGAAATCAAACAGTAAGTAGTCGAACATCAGCATGCTTTGCTGAAGATATCCAAATTTATAAAATCATTTTTAACATTGTGAAGTCATATTTATCAAGTCTGTAGGATTTCATATGAAATGGCAAATTCTAGAAGATATTAAGAATAGTAAGTTATTCACATTTGGTTCTTGAATCATTATGGTTGCTCAGCTCATGGTTTATGGGGAGATTTCACAAAAGAAAATTTTTTAAAATTTCCCCATGTTACAAATATTTATAAACAGAAATGTTTATAGTGGCAACGACAGGGACCATTACTCCTGTAATTATCTGTAAAAAATGCTGTTAAAAATTGAAAATCAGAAACTTTTGTTCCTTGGGTACCGAGCTCCTTTGTAAACTCATGTTTCATGGTCGTAAGAACAAAATCCAAGCCAACACAGCAGCTCTAATGTCTTAAAACCAAGAGAAAAACCTGAATTTAGGGTGTCTTTGAAAGCAAAAGCTAGTTGTAAGAAATTTGCAAATTGTTGATAGGCTTTTATATCTAATTTTATATAAACATATCTGATTTATAATATGCTTCATTGTAACTGCACTTACACGGGAGCTGATTCTGTCAAAGTTTTTTGTGCCTTATAGTAAAAAAATTTTATCAAAATTTTTATCATTCCATATCTAGCTGATGGCATATCGTACTAAATAAAGATTTTATACAGTGGAGTCCCGATATAAGGAACCCCGGATACGACGAACTTCTTTGTATAACGAACTAAATGTCTGGTTCCTTAGATTCTTCCTAACAAACAAATTCTCTCGGTACAACGAACCCCGGATATAACGAACTCTCGTTATTACGAACCCTTCGTCATAATTACCCTCGATATAACGAATTTTTCCATACATTTTTCATCTTCGAAATCCATTTGTCACTTTTATATTTTTTGCATGTCTAATGATGTTGCTAAGTTCCTAGCTAGCTGGTTTTCCAAAATGGTACCGATAGCTCTGTATATTTCTTCAATTGGTACCCATGATTCCGCATTTAGGTACCCCTAAATAATGGCACCCCTAAATAGCAAAAAAAGGTACCCCTAAATAATGGCACGTCCCCGTACGTCAAACCTATTAAGTTACCCCCCCCCCTCCTTCCCGAGAGATAGCCTAAACAAGCCCACCGCAGGTTTTTTAGGCGTGAACTGAGAAAGGACCCCAAAAAATCTTATCTCTCGTTTTAACGAACTCCCGAAAGAACTAATGAACTATTTTCTGGTTCCCTTCAGAGTTCGTTATATCGGGATTCCACTGTTTATCCTATGAAAAAAGAAGGTTTGACACCATAAATAATATTTTTGATGAGTCAATAGTATTTTTGTAAAGTAACATGGATACAGAAATGCAATATAAGCTAAATATAATAATATAGATTTTTAAACATTTTATCATCTTTAGACGCTCTGAGAAGATATTACTGAAATACTTACATGGTCCAAAGCTCCAATACGTGCATTATAAACACCTCCGCCTTCACTATAGCTGTACGCCCAGCGACAATTGATAACATCATCATCAGGGTCATAGGTAGGTAAATGGAAAGTCTTTATTTCGTTTTGCAAAATGGTAAATCTTGGAAAATAACGAAGCTGTACTGGACTATTCAATCCACCAAGACGATTCAGAGGAAACGAAATCAGGCTTTCTACATTCACCAAAGAGTTAGGATATTTGATCAGTGCTGGATTCCAACAGCATCCAGTATATCTAGCATCAAAAACAGATTCAATACACATTTGTGTTACCTACCCCTGAAATATGCATCTATTTATGTGTGTTATATACAGATTGCCAGTTGCCACTTATCTGTTTATTTTATCATTATCTGGTTGCAATAATGCCGGTGTTGTTAAGAGTTGAGTAATAATTACACAAGTCCCAAGAATTTTTCAGTTATGAATACTGCTTCTCTATGCCTTTCCTCCTTACCATTTTGCTGTTCATTGATTTATTTATGAAAGATTTTATCTTTTGCTGTAGACAGGTTACCCTTGGTATCAGCGACTTAGAGAAGTAAAATGGGGGAAAAAAGACGGATACAGAAAAGTATTGTCTGGTTTTTAGGTTTAGAGAGATTTTGAAACCTGACGTGTTCTAAGATTGCTTACCTTATCTTGTAGAAGAAATTCCGCTGGATGATCAGTCTAATTTCATTGTAGCCATTTAAGCTTGCCTTTGTATGTGGATAGGATGGGCATTGAAACTGCGCAAACAACTTGGTATAGAAATTCCCAGGCGATGCTTCCGTGGATCCAAAGTAAAAATATAATGGCAATGCGCTTGAGGAGGAGCATAAACCAGGCGGTGGGACATTAAGGCATGGATTTGTCAGGCTACTCCATCGACTTCTAAATTTCAAAATAACCTGCAAAAGTAGATTTATTTTAAGTTATAATCGCAACAACCCAAGTGAATTAACCAATGGACGGTGAAAAACTTCTTAAACTTTGTTATTCACACTAAAATATTAATCTAATATGGTGTTTGGAAGACGAGTAAGAAACGCAAGGAGCGACTGAGGGAACTAAAGCTGCAAATTACAAAAGTCTCTAAGCTTTTCTCAGGTTAGATTGTTTCTTGACGTTGGAAAATGCATTTTTAGAGACTGCATTTTTAGAAGCTCGTTTTATGAAAGAGTTATTGGTGAATAAGATTACTTTGGAACAAATATAGACAAAAAACGAGCTCACTATTGATGCTGAAAGATATATTTGAAATAGCTTCGAAAAAGCAAACATTTTGAGTCGAGCATAAGCTTCTTGTCTGACACTCTGCCGAGTATAAAACGTTAGAACATAGATCAAAACAGAGTTGGCCTAAGCTGAAAGTGACCTTATGAGCTCAAGAACAAAATGGGGCACATCTTTCAATGTGGCACATCTTTCTTTGATGAACACAGTGGGGCACATGCTTCACTTATTTTTTGAAACAAACATAAAAGAAAACTAACTGTCTTCTGCAAACACAATTTGATTATTCTAGGAAAGGAAAGGCAAGCAAAGCGCAATGGCCAAGAGGGGGTGGCTGGCAGTGTTGGCAAGTGATAGGATTTAAAAGTGTCCAGTATTACTTCGACCAATCCGTGCGCTTTTTCATGTATGAGAGAATTTTAATCCCTACCTTTTGAATACGCACATCTTTGACATGGTTATATTGTACAATGCTTCAAGAGTATTCTTATAGTATCGCAAAAATTGATCATTTAGATATGATTTCATTCTAGGGACACTCTGCAGTGATCTATAGGGTGAGGTCCTTTGAAAGTTTCTTGAGTTTGTGCACTCGGACCCGTTTTTGCCTACGAATACGCCTGATATTTCATAAGTAACAAATTTGATTCAAGTTAAAAAGAATTAAGTGGGTTGTCATTTTTGGAAATATGCTGGAGGATTTGGAATAGTTGTGTTATACAATTTGGAGTGGGGCTCTCGCTTTATACTGGGCTTAGTAAAATGTGTGAGAAGGAAGAACCGCAGGATAGGCTGTCTGCCGGATTCTGTGAATCTTGCAATGAGTGTTGTTATAAAAGATATCTCTTAGTAAAATGGTTCATATTAGCTGACAATATTCTTGTTTAGCTTCACTAGTGCCGTACTATCAAATTTGTTGATAATTTTGTCTTGATTCAAATAAATGTACACTTTTAGATCAAAGAGATTCATTTATCTGGTTTTAGATTCAGGGCCACTCCATGTCAAATCATCCAGGGGTTGTGACCATCATGGCGTGGGCTTTGTTTATATTTTACACAATTGAAGCTTCTAGTAAGATTAGAAAAGCAGCAAATTTTCAACTTTGTATCAACCATATATTCAAATTTACAGCCATCAAAAATATATGCTGAATCAGCGAATCGGCAGAAAAAATGGGCGTGGCACACAGTAACGTGTATGCCTGTTGAAAGCTAGAATTGAAAAACCATTGATAAGTAAAAAATATTGGCAAAATAAATATTTTGCTTCGTTTAGATTCTTCTTCATGTCACACGAACTCCAACAGCTGATTACGATCTACTTATCACAAGCATCTCTAAAACATAGAGCAAGCAAGAGGGTTGCCAAAACGTCACCCTGGTTTCCCTGCCTATCTAAGCCTCTCCTCATTTCTCGATTGTTTGAAAAGTAGGTGGGTTTATTTCTATCCTTCCTGTATCAGGGAGGTCCCATTCTGACCTGATTTTGCGCGTTAAAAAGGTAATTTTGTAATTATTAAGATACAAGCGTCGCCAAAAGTGGCGGGGGGGGCTGTGGGTGCAAATTGCCCAAGGCTCTCGAGACCTAGAAGGTAGCGGAACCGCTTGCAAGAAACTATTGCAAGAAAATAACTGCAAGAAATATTCTGAAATGTATTTTAAGCTAATCTAGAGGGCGGGAAAGCAAATTTTTTCAGCTAGCTTCCCTCGAAGGGAGCCTCGTCCTTCTTTACCATGGGCCTTCGAAACCTCTCGATGGCCTGACAACAAGAACAGAGAAGTGAAAGAAAGCATATCTACAAAATTTATAATTAAACTAAGGGAAATGTCACTTTATACAACACGTGGCTACCAAGGGACAATTCTTATAGACCACGACTACGACCACTCGAGTAAATAATATGGCCTACCTTGACTTTGTCCGATGTTTTGTTTATTGGATAGAAAGACGGGTCACTGTTATTCGCAAGCCAGGTGAAAAAGAAACCATTATGTATTGTTGCACTGATATAGCTCAGCTGTGATAAGCCCAAAGTAATGCAGGCATAAAATCTCAGAAACATCTCAATTGGCAGGTTTGACTCACATCCCTTTAACTGTCAGTAAGCAGGTTTGGATTTGGACTATTATACATGCTGCATGACAAAACATTTTGAATGTCTATTGAAATTATTTGAAAGACGTCATGCGCGTCAACACAATCAAAATTTGAACGGATGAACATCCATTCATGTAATTCCGAGAAAAGCCCGTAGACTGTTTTCCGCTACCGGATTTATTTGAAAATAAGCCATGGCATATAAACTACCGTTCTTTTTTGGTACAATTTGCTGTGGTTTGTAATCAAGAGCGGCTTATAAACGAGGGCGGCTTGCATTATTTTATCATGGCTTTCTTGCTACTTTGAAGCTGAGGGTGATAATGTAGAAGAAGAGAGAGACATTTTCTAGTAGATGATGATGATGATGATGATGATGATGATGATGATGATGATGATGATGATGATGATGATGATGATGATGATGATGATGATGATGATGATGATGGTAATTCAAGCCTACTACAAAGTAAAATTGTTTAAAAATAAAAAAAATAAAAATACATATATATCTAATATAAGAAATAATTAAGTATAAATACATATATACATATCTTTCTATGTTTTTACAGCATTTTTGGCATTTACAATACAATACATTTATCCGTTCAAGAACCCAACCTGAGCCACGAAAGGTCTACACAGTCTACAGTTGCATTCCTCTCCTTTCCAAGATTTTATTCTCCTTTTAAAGGTGAAGAGGGTATCTGATTGTTTTATGTGATCGGGATGATCTTTCATCTGAACGACATTGTTATTGCTTAAACTTCTGTTTTTTATTGTTTCAGTACATAATCAGGTTTTTATCAGTTTTTGATTTGTAAACCAAGTATATTTGCATGATTTTGTTGGTTCGGCTTATAATCTAATAGATACTATACACGCGCTTTTCAGCTTATAAGGAACCTAGCTCGAAGCCTAGTGCTTTCAATTCCTTATTTTTGGACCTCTCGTAATCGAATTTTAATACATTTGGTGCCATGCAAATAACCTATTGAAATTCTGTTTTAGTGTCTTGACTCTAGCTGGAAAACAAGATGAAAAAACAGAAAGAAGACGTTTTATAATGAAAAGTGGAAATTGAATCAAAAAGGAAGATGATAAACTCGAAATTACACAATAAAACTCTCGATAGCCACCTTTGTAACACACATATTTTGTGATTTTTAACTCCAAATTACTGGAACCGGCTCCCTAATTCTTGATAGTTTGCACTGATGAGAGCATTCAAAAAATAAATTTTTACTTAGGGATTTTGTACTAACGGTACTTTGATTTTTTTTCTGCCTTCTACATGTAGGTTCCTTATAAAGGGATTCCTTAAAAAGCGTGTATTTTGATTGGACGAACAAAAATCTTACTAGTTCTTCTGAAACTATTTGACAGATGTGTGATGATAGGCAAGATGGATTGTAAATCCCTCTAAACACAACACCTTTGCTTGACGTTGTCTAATCTTTTATGTGCAAAGCAGTGAAGAAGTATCAATAGGAAACTTATATAAATTTCATTTTTAAACTTTAAAAATAGGAAACTTTTAAAAATTTTTTACCTACGACTTACAATTATTTAGAAAACTGATTTATCTTCTATTGAAGAAGAATGACCCTAATTTTTTAGCTATTTTTGCTATGAAAGCTACATAGCTTATACAGATAGTGGCTGGTTGCCATCATCAATGTGGGAGCCTAAAGAAATACACAACAAGAGCATTAATGTTATCTCCATAAACACTCTTATCGATATTCGATATAACAAACAAAACTTGCCCCCTTCTCACAAAGAAGAGAGGAAGCTTCTCCGCCAAAGGTTGAACATGTCATTTTTACAACAAAATTGCTTAGATACAATGTTGTGATGAAATGGACAGAAATAGTCAAAAATGGTAATTCTGCCCAACACCCAATTAAACAAATTAAAAAAACTTTAAAAATTGCATAAATCTTGAAAGGAACTTGCAATTTGCGACTATAATTCAAAAGCCCGGCCTAATGACAGTATTCTGTACTATTATCGTACTGCTTGAAATGCCATGCCCTAAGCATGCCGGTTGTGCATACATCTTTAATGCATCCATATACATTGACAGAAGAATCTGCTAGGGTTCTTATGGGTCTGCTTTCTTCCCATAGGAAGTGCCAATCAACATGACGTTGCCTAATGAACGGAATGCTGGCAAACAATCAAAAACCTTAGTAAGCAAAACCCAATATAATAAATAATTCAACAACAAATGCCGACTTCGTCAAATAGATGCCTGCAATTAGAAAACAGGAAAAATTTTGAAAATACACTTGAGTGATAGGATTTCTTGAACAACATGAATCGAAATAATTTTTGTCCAACTTTTGATGGGTAATCGTCGGGGAGACGAACCAGTATATGTTCAAATTTGCATCACAAGCACAGTTGATGCCAATGACGGCATTCTCACATCACATTCGTAGCACTTTTGGAAATAGGCCATAATTTAGAGAAAAGGGGGCCAAGAGAAAAGTGAGAATGAAAATCTGGTTTATTGATGCAACTACGATATATAATAGCTTTGATTAAATGCTTTGAAGCGCTATGAGGTGTAAATCATGTCAACAAGTTTTCGTATTAATGCGCATGTGCATACGATGGATCTTATCCTTGGCTAAGACAAATGGATAAAACAATAAGACTTAATACCAGAAATCTAAACTCGTCTACCGAACAAGTAAGAATTCTGCAGAAGAAATGTTTTTTGGCGACAAGGGCAATGCTCTCTATTTTTATCTAACTCACATAAGACATGGCTTGTGTTAAATGTCTTATGTGAGTTCTATGAAACCCAATTCTATGAAGCATTTCCTTTGTCTGAATATAAAACATGTTTTTAGGTTTGCCATAATTAGTTTCTTATTCAGATCGGTCATGATACTCTTCTTTTGAGTGAAATTATACTTTTACTAAATGACGCTTTTTGCAAGTGTTTGTTTTTCATGAAATGTACTAAAAAAAGAGAAAATCCTATGAATAGAAAGTTCCATTAGTAGAGAAAAAACGTAATGATTTGCAAAATCATATAAATCATCGAGAATAGTTCCATGACATGAATCAAAAGAAAAATCACACAAGGTTTAGTAGTCGATAAATTTTTTTTTCTCCCAATAAACCAAAAAAAAATCACGAAAAAAAATAAAAAATATAGTTTTACCTCTATTTCTCGTTAGTTTAACTCCATTGGAAATAATAAAGCAGGTCTCTAAATATGATTAGATGGAAATAACAGAAATTAAATTATTTTTCACCGTACAGATCTCTAAAATTCTAAATTAGCTTTGTAATCTTTTGTATTTATTCACTTTTGAAAATGGCTTTGAACAGAGCAAATATTTCACAAAATACTAAAAAAATTTTAGTATTGACACTGAACATCGTATAAAACGTCGGAATAACGGTCCAAAAAGAACAAGATAGAAAATAAATACCCAGTTGTGGATGGAAATAGGCCAATCAGAAAAACGCAAGCACAAGACCGGTACATTTGGTCCTATAGTACCGCGTGCATATAGAAAAAAAGCCACTGGAGTCTAAGAGAGAAAAGGAACTCCTTCTCTCCATACAAAAGCAGCTTTTTTGTTTGTATGTAGATCGATTCCAAAACTTGACCAGGCTCTGCCAATTAACTGAAACATATCGTCATTATAGACTTTGGCATAATATGGGTTATCAAATAGATGCTGTCCAATATGCACTTGTTTTAACGGTGCTTTTAGACCTACAAGATCGAGAAGGCTGTTCTCTTTTAGGTGACAGTTTTGTTTCTTATGTTGGAAGGAACACGTTGTATTATCCTTTCCCACAATCTTAGGATTGCGCGTCCTATGTAATCTAGTGAAATCTAGTTTTTAGAATGCTGTGAAATGTTTGCTTTTTTCAAATTCATTTTCAAACTTTGTACAGCAAAAAATATTCACTTTTATATCACAGCGTCCATTTTTCATCAAAGTTTCAACCAATGACTTGCAGAGAACCACTAACGACTTTGTTTTCAGAAGATTCCTGATTCTCGTAGCGTTTGAGGAAAAACAGCCGCAACGAAACACATGTGCCGAAAAACATAAAAAATGCGTTGATGAAAAAGACTGACCCAGGGTGTGTGGAGACAACAGCATAGTAAACCAGTGGACTAATCATTGAACCAACCAGCACTGCGAACGACTCAACAATAATTATTGCTGAGAAGAATATGCTTACTGTAGAGGGAGGGGTAATTTTGGAGACCATGGCTCGAATCGTTGACACGTTCACTGTTGATACAACATGCACCAGTTGAACCAAATACAGGGTCAAAGTTGAATTTGCCAATCCAAGCAGAACACAATAGATGGTATAAGCTGTTGCAGTCAGTAGCAAAATGGTGTGGTCATTGAGTTTCAAAACGCGTGTTAGCAAGTAATTGACCCCAATGAGACCAATAATTGAAAGTGCTGCACTCTGGAATGCGAGAAAATATCCAATATGCACTGGGCCCATGTAGAAAGGTCTGTTTTTCAAGTATAGAACCATGACGGAAAGTTCTCCTGAATATGTTGCTGCCGCACAAGCCATAAGAAGGAATAGCAGCATACCATATCTTAACTGACCATGGAATTTCAGTATCCAGACAACTTTTGTAAAATTGCTTACAGGGTTTGATTTCTTCAGTAGAAACCATAGCCTACAGGATAAACCTTTTCTCGTCACATGTTGTTTCACAGGATTGCTCAATTTCATTGTTACCTCCGAAGCCATCTTGTTTCGAGAATCCTCTTCATTCACACAACTCTTTTCTTTCTTTGTAGATTCATCTTCTTCGTCCTCGATTTTGCTTTCCAAAATGTTATCTTGCAAACAATTGATTACAATATCACTTTCTTGTTTTATTGGCTTGCCCTCCATTACTATCTCCATTTTGGTATGTCCTTCTATCTGGTCGCACATAACAGCTTCTTTGTCTATTGGCTTCACCAATAATATGATATATAAGAGTTCTAGAATGTCTGTTATAATACAAGCAATATATGCACCAATATATCCAAAGTGCTCTATAATGTACCCACTAGATAATGATGCTACCAGAGCTGATATTATTGCAGCAGATTCCAAAAGATTAATTCGCAAAGTTCTTGTCTCCACTGAAGAAACATCAGCAATGTACGAAGATGTTATTACGTAGAGACCACAAATATCACCTACCATACCAGGTAACAGCCCGACCAGAACCATTAGCCACGTTGGGAAGCGCAGACCTCCACTCAGTATGCAAACAATAACAATGCTTTGAAGCAACTGCCCTAATGGAGTCAAACTCATTATCTTGCGCCTTCCAAATTCATCCGACAGTGCGGCGATGAAGGGAAGGAGCAGCACTGCTACCAATGCAGCTGCCACCAACAAAGCACTGAACCAGAGAGATGAAATTCCTTGTACTGTGTCGTATTCTTCCTTGAACAAACCCGTATACATTGCAGCACACTTTGTCTCGTTGTGTTTCTTCAAGCACACATTATCTAATATCATCTGTGGCATTGCAACCATATTCAGGAAAAATGAAAGCATCCCAAAAAACATCACAGGCTCCACGGTCACTAAAGAAATCTTGCACGACATTATGGCCTGCTCTGTATGCGTTTACACAGTGTTTTGTATCGTCCTTCCGTTGATGCGCCTGTGGCTTTGTCGAGTCACTCTGCAAACTGACTAGGGATGTCTTAATTGCTGGTTATACGATACCCATTCAACTCCCATCCAATCATTAGTTTCTCAGTAATCCGTTGCAGTACTGACCAGTTTCAACCTTTGGGAGGGACGTAAACAAAATTTTCTCACACAAAACAATGTATTTATCCTTTGCTGTGCAAAAACAAGTCTCGTGGAAATGCAATCCCGTTTTTGGTAGCACAAACAAAAAATTGTTGGCCTTTAACAGGGCGTAGCCAATCCGATGGCGAGGGTAATCTTGTTTTGTGTAACTGAAACCTTGGAATATTGAGTTTGCTGTTTAGACATAATATTCCCAACGAGCCTTTTCATTCAAAACTTCCTATCATCAAAACTTGACAGTAAAGATGTTGGGTATTTAATCTGTGTATATTTCTTTTCCCTGCTGTTCATCTTCCAGGGTTTTAAAATAGGGAGGTCACCGACGTCGTGCGCAATGTTATGATTTTCAAAATGGTCATTTTTAGCACATAGTTTGATATTTCCTTGCATAAAATTTTTCCTTGTTTTTTTCTGTCTTAAGGATAGCTTCTGGCTTCTCATTCTTGAGCAAAGACAGTTTAAAGACAATTAAAAGAAGCAGAAATCTAAAATTAGTTACCGCCAATCCGTTTTGGGTGAGAGCAGAAACTTTATATCTCAATTAACTGGGCTAAACGCTAAATAGAGCAAGAAATTTTTACTCCAATCCAACCGAACGTAATGAAAAATATTTAGCCCTATTTGGTTGGCAAAAGTATTGCACAGATCACAGGTTTTGATAAATGACTAACAGCGTTGTAAACAATATGGCCATCGAAGTTTAAAGGACTTTTTGTGAAGACATCAGGCATCATTTTATAGTTAAAAACCAATCAAACAAAACAAAACTATTTCCAACATTGGTTTTCAAAAAACATCGTAATTGATTTAAAACCGACTATTTACAAAAAATGCAATTTACTTTATAAAAATAAATTAGCGGAATAATTTGCAGGTGCATTTATCACCAGCTCAGTAGACTCCCTCTTTGGCTTTATAAGTGGCAGTTTGCAGAGATTTTGTACCTTAGATTATAAGTTACATGCTTCTTTTCATTAAATTCCATATAATCGATGGGTTAAGATGATTCATGGACTTGTAGATTTCTGTCACCAATTTCTGCAAGTCTCTAACATGTATACAAAAACCGCCACCTCGAATGAGTAACGTTTCAAAGGAACACTCATAACCTTTATAAAGGATCCGAAGGAAGAGCTCGTTTGTTTTTTGCGGTCAATCTCTTTGTATGCACCTTTGTTGCAGAATAGCCAGATGAAAGGGCAATAATTGAAGTTCGACAAGATAACGACGTTGCAAATTGCTAATGCCTGCTGTCTTTGATATATATGTATTTAGCCCAGGAAGGCACTGATTTTTTTGTTGACTTTTGAGCCTAACGCTTTACTGTGATTGCGGAATTTTAATTTGTTGTCGATTTCAATTCCTAGCAATTTAACAGGATCTGTTGCAGACAATTTGTTCTCACTTATGTTAATTGATAGTCCTCTCTGCCCTTTCAGGATTAGCTGGTTTTTTTGGGTTTGCAACCATGCCATTATTTACAAAACATTCTGGCAATCTACTTGGATCATTTTCCAAATTGGTGACAATTTCATGTAGATCTGGCCCACATGAGTATATGGTGTTATCATCTGTAGAATTGATGAAATGTTAAGGAGCAAAGGACCTAGAACGGACCCTTGTGGTACTCCACTTCAAACCTGTCAATCCTCCCGGTTTTGACTGCTTTCTCCCGGTCTCCCGTTTTTTAAAATTTTTCTCCTGGTT